TTTATATGTGCCCTTCAGGGATTGGAAAAGGGCTCTATGGCTATTGTTTATTTATATTGGGTGTACTTTAGGCTTCTGATTTTTTAGATTTTCCCTCATTGCACCCTGTATAGCGTTGTCCGTCTTCATTAGCCAACATGGTACAGAAAAGTAGGACGTAAAACTCCATTTATTTCATTTTGTCTGATGTCTGTAGTTCCGGAAATTCCAGAAATAATTATTTCCATTTTGATAAGAAAAATAAAAATACGCCTTTTTTTACAAGGATGCCAATTGTTATAGTTCCACGTCATTTGTTCCTCTTCCGCAAGATCAAAGATATCCGTTTTGAAGATGTGGACGCCTTGACGGACGTGACGACGGAGCTGCGGAAAAAACCAGAATAATCCGTTTGTGACTCAAGTCCTGGAACTTTTCAGACACACCGCGCAGTTTTCTCATAAAGTTCGCTTTACAGCTTTGAAGTCTCGTCGGAGGCCGGCTCGAGATAATAAATTTCCTCCGGTCAGTGATGCAGGTTAGAGTGGCTGACATGGAAAAAGCGTCAAGTCGTTCAGATGGAACAATAAACCGAGGCTCCGTGTGCTACAGGCTGTTCACGTTAAAGGTCCCCAACAGTTGGAAATCGAAAAAAAGCAGGCTAATGCCGCTGTCCTGACAAAACTTCCCTCATAGCACCCTGCATGGCGTTACCTGTCTTCATTAACCCACATGGTGCAGAAAAGTAGGACGTAAAACTCCATTCATTTCATATCGGAAGCCGTCAAAATATTCAGGTATAATTACAAGCCGTAACTGAAGTTTCTATCGATTACTGATTGACATATTTTGACGTGTGTCTCTCCACCTTGACGAATGTGATTGACAGGTTTCGGACTCCCACAAGTTATTTTGACTCTTTGATTGAAATGTTTTGACATCTTAAATTATTTTGAATTCGATTTGATTGACATGTTATGACTTCCGTTAAAAAATATTTTTATAAAAAGTTGATTGACATTTTGACCATTAAAGGAACACATTAGTCTAATTATTTTTCTTTCTAAGACGATGCCAGCCGTACGTATCACTTTTTAGAATATAAACTCTACGTCCGATTCTCTTGTAATTTAAGGTCTTGGAGCATCGTCGTTTAATCATGTGTTGCAGATACAATAGCTGTTGAAGTTAGACTGTCGTCACTTCCGGGCGGTTATCTTAGTCCTCACGAAAGGGAATTTGTAATGGCTTGGTATTTGTTCTATAGAATTAACGGCTTGAAATTATGACCACACGATTTATCTCCCTTGAATTTCGGCTACTAATGTATACACTGTGAAAATATGATAGAAAAAATTGGGCATGAAACGTGAAACGGGCGTATTCAAATTTGTTGCTGGTGTAAATGTGATTTAAGGAAAGACTTAAACGTTTTCGAAAACTATTTTTTAAAACTTGGTTTATAAATTCCTTGTTATCCATCATTAAATTCTGACAAGGCCGTCTCGTGGTCTAAGGGAGGTAATTTTGACATGGATGTGTTCTGGAGCCATTTAATTTGACGAACGATATCGTTGGCTTTGGATTCTAGATTCTATAATGCATTTGTAGCTTCTGATGGTCGATTCCTTTTTCTACTCCGAATGCTTAGTCGCTGTTATAAAGTTAGCTGATCCGACCTGAGTTATGCACGTACGAGGGGAAACTGGTTTGAAATGAGCGAAGGTACACCACTCTATCGAAATTGAAAAAGCGTCTAGTCGTTCGGATGTGACAAGAAACCAAGACCCCATGTTCTACAGGCTGTGCATGATACATGATAAAGATCCCTCGACAGTTGGAAGTGAAAAAAGAGAAGGCTAATGCCGCTGTCCTGGTAAAAGAGACGAGTTGGGGGTGTGGGGGGGGGGGGGCGAGTAGGGGAGGCGGAAATGGTCAAAAAAAAGGGGATCACGGGCAATTCTTTCCCTCTGTAATTGAAAGGAAATTGGAGTGAAAGGGCCAAAGTCGGGCCAAAACCGTACCAAGATCAATTATGGGGCAGGGACATGTTTGTAGATACGCCACTGTCTATAAATAAGTAAACGGTCTATATTGGACTTTTTGTCGGTCGCGTGCCGTGGTATATCGTGGTATAATGGAATCGTAATAATCGTTATGTGATAAATCCTATTGTATATAAACAGTATAACTTCGAGTAATAGTAATGGGTAGTGATTATATTAAAACACCGAGGGCATCGTGGCAGTAGCGTATTTTGAGGAAGGGCCATTGGGCCATAGCCCTCACCTTGGGCCCGTGAAAGATTCTCTTTCAAAGTCAAGCCCTCTAAATGTTCAAAATTCATCTGAAATCCGTACGCTATCAATAGCATAATATGGTCAAAAGACATTTAGAAATTCAGTAATAATCTCCGATTAATGACGTCACTGATTCAACGATTACGTAACTAGAGTGTAAATAAGCGGAATTAGTGACGCTACATTACCCAGAACTTCCCCTTGTCGCCATTTTAACTTGGAACAAACAGAGAATATGATTAAACCTATAAAATAAAGTGGCTTTCACACCATAGTGATCACCAGTTGCGTATGGTTACAAAAGAGAATAGCAGTAATATGTTTCGAACGCAACTGAGTTGTAAGTTGTGAGTTGTGAGTTGCGTTCGGAACTCATGGTCATTATCATTAGTCGCAACCATACGCAATTGGTAATCGTAGTAGTATACGGGCATAACAATATATAACGTATGACGCTCATTCAATACAAGCATAGCATATACAAGTCAATAGCCTACGCTACATAATGTTATGGTAACGGATAAATGATATGCTTCTCGTAACTGCGTATATATCCGCTCTGACCCTCTCCCCTGCCGAATATATCCGTACGTGAGCATACTTTGCGGAAAAACCTTTAAGTTTCAAGGCTAAAATATTTTTAGAATTTGGAATTCCCCAAAATTTTTTTTTTAATTTGATATACCCGGCCAATGTTCATTTGATTGCATTTGAATTGTTAACCGCCAAAACCGTTTATTATTTTAATACGTTCATTGTGTGAATAGTTTTAGTTTCTTTTTTTAATTTCAACGACATTGAAACATACATTACAAAAACGTTTTGGGACCCTTAAAAATAATTTCATTTTTCGAAATATGCCAAAAAGAAAAAAAAAGAAAAACCTAAAACATTTTTGTGAAAAAAATTTAACTAAATATTATTTGTCCAACAAATATCTATATGTAAAAAAAAAAAAAAGAAAAAAAAAAAACTAAAACGTTTTGGGAAAAAAATTCAAATTAAGTTCAGTTTTATGTCCGGGATTTCAAAAATACTCACAGATTCGACTTACTAATAATATTTATGTCAAAAGAAGGATTGGTCGGTTTTTTTTTTGCGTCCGGGCGTTAATCGATTTTTAATTAAGTTTTTTAATTTTCCGAAATTCAATTATTTGATACTGCTTATTATTAAACAACAATTTTTCAAAAAAAAAAAATTTTGTCGAAATTTAAACAAAATCTAATTTTTTCTTCAACGTGACTAACTTCAAATTTGCCCTTGATGAATTTTGATCAATTTCCGTTTTTCAAATTTTGGGTTGCGAATCCCCCCCAAAAATATCAAAAGAAATTGGTATTTTGCCATTTGATTGCTATTTTGTCCTTTGGCCATGTTTGCCGCAATAGGCCACAATATAGGCTTGTACACTACAGGCTTATCGTACGAACTATTTTTAACACGTAGTCCAATTTAGTCAGACAACCTTCCGAGGAATCAATTTTTTGGCCTTTTTTGAATCGGAATGATTAAAATTAACTAAATGTGACATAATTTTTCAAAACATGTCCCGAAATAATTCCAAATTATAGGAATTCAAAAAAAAAAATTGCCATTGGTTTTTTAACATTCAACAATGGATTTGTTCAAAGCTTCTCCTCAGAAATTTGCATTGAGTTTGTTTTGTGTCCCAAATGACGCTATTTCCATCATTTTTTGGGCAAAATCAGGAAATTTTGCATGACATTTTGCAAGAAATGTAAATTGGAAACGAAATTGTCCCCAAAAATTTAGTTTTATGCAGTTAGAAATTGTTGAGTTTTCTGCATGTTTTGACTACGAAGAAAACCTAATCAAAACCTGAGTCGAATCCACTCCACGTATGAGCTTTGTCTTTTTAGCCCATAACTCGTAAAGTTTTGGATGAAATTTTGTCAAATTTTAACATAAGATGTAAATCGATAATACAAAAGCACCCATCAAATAAAATTGGGCACTTTTAATTAAATATTAGGCGAAATTGACTCGTTTTTATAATCACATAAATCTAAGAATCGTCCAAATGCGACGCCATGTTTGAAAATTATCGCTCGAAAGGTCAAAACTTTTAGGCTGAAATTCTCACAAGTTCTATGACCCCGGATGGAAATTTTGGTACCCCTGGGTTCCCTGTGGTCATAGAAGTACTGGAACGAAATTTTGGGAAAATTCATCCCAAAACAAGGGCGTTTCAAGCGGAAAACAAGTTAGCCTATAGGGTCCACGATAGTGAAAATGGCGGAGTTGAAATCTTTTTCTGTTATACTTAGGTCCTCGAAATTTCGAATTTACACCCATTTAGAAAAATCGGACAAATTTCAAATTTTACAGGCACATAGAAGGGACATCGTATTTCGAAACTGTAAAATTGGTTTTTCGTCACTTTTCAAGAATTAATAAATTTTTATTGATTTCAAGACCTTATATTGCTCCAGAATCTTAAAATTTCCACTTAAAACATAAAATTCTACAAAAATAATAGACAGAATTTATTCATCTTCGGTGAAAATTAGAATAAATGTATCCTCTATCGGTACCCAAAAGATTTTTGGGCTGACACGTTAATTAAGCGTAGTAATTAACGCCCGAAGAGAACATAGGAAACACAATCAAATTCGACTATTAGTTTTCGGACGATAACAACCGCTAAACTATATAGTGCTTTCTTTGACGTCCGCGCTCAGTTAATAAACAAGTGCGCGTGATCAGAAGGTTTCATTCGACAATATCGTCTGCTACTAGAAGTTTACAAAAAGTCTCTCTGAGGAAAAATCTCTAAACCAGAAACCATGGCCGATACCGATGCTGCACCAGCTGTCGCTACACCTAAAACCAAGACACCAAAGAAGAAAGTCGTCAAGGCAAAGAAACCAAGCAGCCATCCAAAATACAGTGACATGATCAGAGCTGCCGTCACCGCTTTGAAGGAACGAGGTGGTTCATCCAGACAAGCCATTTTGAAATACATTTTGGCTAACTACAACGTCGGAAAGGATTCCAAAACCGTCAACAACCACTTGAAGCTTGCTTTGAGAGCCGGAGTGAAGAATGGAAAATTGAAACAATCCAAAGGAACTGGTGCCTCTGGATCTTTCCGACTTGGTGAATCTAAAGCCGAGAAGAAACCAAAAACCAAGAAAGTTGCCGCTAAAAAACCAGCTACCACCAAGAAACCTAAAAGCCCAAAGAAGGTCAAAGCCAAGAAACCAAAAGCCGCCGGTGAGAAGAAAGTCAAGACACCCAAAAAGGCTAAAAAACCAAAAGCCGCTGCAGCAAAGAAGTCTCCTGCCAAGGTCAAGAAAGCCGCTAAACCAAAAGTAACCAAGAAGAAGTCGCCCAAAAAGAAGGCCGCCGCCAAGAAGAAGTAATGCGTTAAGTGACTTGATACTGGACAAATTCGAAAGTGAAATTTGGAAATGTTTAAAAGGACTTGGAATTCGATTTACGATTTTAAATTCGAACGGGTAGTTATTCAATTTTGTTATTCATCAACATTGTGCTAGAAACTTCGAATGGACACGGGAGTTCGAATTGGGGAGTGAAACTACAACAACATGACTCAGGAGAAACCCGATTTGAGACTTTGTGTGTTCGTTCATTAACCATTCAAGTCCCGATTGACTTAAACTATCATCATTATCATCATCATTGACGTCATCATTATGTAAATATTCATCATCGTGCAATCATCATTAATTTTTAACTTAATATTATGTTATCATGTTTCATTAAACATTATGTATATATTTTCATGATCATACCGATAAGAAAAAAAGTATGAAAACCGAATTCATGTTTCTTTTTTTGAATTTAAACTCCACCGCCTTTGTCCGTACGTCTGGGGAGTTTGAGACCGAATTGATGAAAATGTGCAATGTTTTTTGGCAAAATGGGAGAGGGGTCTTTGGGGAACAACGAAATACAAGTAAGCGGCGGGAAAACAAAGAAAATTGAAGATTGTTCGCGCCCATTGTCCGTCTGTCGCTCAGAGTATGCATTGTCCCCCTACAGACAAAAAAAAAAAACCCTTAAAATTCACCGTATCGGGCTTGACTGCAAGCGTTTGATTTGTTTACACACAAACAGCCAAGGCGGTAGAGGTTATTTGAAACGAGAATAAAACACTGAAATGTCACCCATACCGTCCGATGTTATGTCATGACAGCTGTTTTTCTTTTTAAATTCAAACATGTGTCAAGATTTCGCGCTCTTTTATGTAGCAGACGACAAATTCGCGGGGATTATTTAGCTTTAGTAAATGATAATTTCATACCATTTGAGTTGGGAAGGACGACATCGTTTTATTGCTAGCCTGAATTACTTTGCATATTTGGCCATTACGCCCAACTGAGTCGTTGATATACAGATGGTATGTCCGTTTGAACCAGAGGGCAGAGGTAGGTTTAAACATTGGCTATATTTTATTGGTCTAGCCATGCCAATCAGTACCGTTTCATCAGGCGAGGGGGTCAAGTTAAGGCCATAGAATTGTCATGGAGATAGGATTTTCCTGTGCAGTTTTCGAAATGAAATGAATGGAGTTTTACGTCCTACTTTTTCTGAACCATGTGGGCTAATGAAGAGGGGCAACGCCACGCAGTGTGCAATGAGAGAAATGTTTTCAAGGGGAGCGGCATTACCCTTTTTTTTTTTCGATTTCCAACAGTCGGGGATCTTTAGCATGCACAGCCTGTAGGACACAGGGCCTCCGTTTAGTGTCCCATCTGATCGACTAGACACTTTTTTCCATATCAGCCGATCTTACCTGCATCACTGACAGGGGGCGACCGGGTTCCTCTACTTTCGAGAGTAGGCCCAGTGTCGGCTTTCATCCCCTGATACCTATTACCCCCTCCCCCCCGCCAGTTATTTAACAGCCGTAACATAATACATTAAACCGAGTTCACTATTGTGTGTTACGTAATATCTTATCAATTGGGCCAATCGCGTCCTGTAGAGTTAATTACAGGTCAGAGGTCAGCAGCTATATAGAAGGCAGAAGAAGGGTCCTCTTGGGTGGCAGTCTACTGTGGAGAATCCTCATTACATTGGGGTCCCCTTTGGCGGCGGCATGCTCGCTATTCTGTAACATCTGATGGCCCTGTATAACTGAAAAAGCAATTCATCTCCAAGAGAGTCCACTTAGCTACCAGTGTTAAGTACGCTATACGTTTATGAACAGGGGCATAGGCTATCTAGTCTGGTCAGTCTGTCACAGGTCTTAGGGGGGGGGGGGGGGGGGGGGGGGGGGCGTAGTCTATATTGTTAGTAAGAGTAATCATCCGATGAACGTCATTGTAGTTAGCTCCCTTTAAACACCAGACTTATTCTCATATGGTGGAAGAAGTCCGATATTGTCAGATGCTGACTTAAAAAAAATGGCGTGCAGGTCTGACACAAAGCCTCTAAGATGTGATAGCTCAAGAATCCTCGCCAAATTGAGATCGTAAAAGAAGGCGGATGTTAATGCTCTGAGAAAAAAAAATTCCTCATTGCTCACTGCATGGCATTTTGCTTCTAAATTTACGTATTCTTGTTGCCCATTAGCTATGAAAAAATACCCTCTTCGGATAGTGCCTCCTCGACAAATGGGAGATCATAACAGAAAAGGCTGCCATATTGCCAAAAGTTTCCCTTATTGAACACCGCATGGTATTATCCGTCTCTTGGACCTATAGAACACGCTATAAAAACACTATTTTAAGAATTTTATTTTGAAATCTATACATATAATAACAAAAATACTATTGGGTGGTAGATTGGTACAGTCTGTTAAAATCTATTTATAGCATCTGACGGGATATCACGTCATTTCGATTGATTTCGACTCATCCGTTTCGGATTTGCGAAATTTTGCAATGGCTATCTTTATATAGTGAAGCAACAATATTAAGTCGGAAAACATGAAAAATCCAAAATAAAGAATCATTATGATCATGGCGCTGGATCCGATAGATGTCGCTTTAACACTATTGTCCCAAGCGCTGGTCTTTTTGGATCGCGTCTTGATTAAAAGAGTCTTGTCCAGGGTCAAATATCCGTATATCCTACTCCGCATGATTTCAATTTGACCCGTTAAGCTTCCGGTCAGACATTTACAGGGACAGATCCTGATGCGGGGAAACGGAGTGGTCACTGGCGTCGCAGAAACATTCGCAGTAGATAACGTGGACGGATATATTATGGACGTTGGTGTAGGCTCTATAGATGATGACGTAAGAACGGTTTGTGATGACGTCGGCACGGTTTGTGATGACGTCGGCACGGTCTGTGATGACAGCGGTGGACTTGTTGACGATTCTAAGGAACTCGTAGAAATGTCATCCAAATATGATGAGATGTCACTGAAGATATCCGATGACGTTGACATGCCACCGGGAGTAGTGACGTATTCAAATGACGTCATTATAACGGACGTTTCGCTGGGCGTCATCGAAGCGACTGATGATTCTACTAATGAACTTGGTTCCATAACAGAGGAACTGGAAATTTCTTCTTCTGGTATATCTGAAAAGAGAAGATTGAAGAATAATGAAACGTAGATACTGTAAGAGCGAAAAGCATATTTTACGAGGATGACAACTTGGTTCGGAGGTTCCACCTTCCACCGTGTAACTAGGTTTGTCAACTCTTGTGGAGAGTCCGCATGCAAAGACCTACTTCATTTTGGGGCTTTGTGGTTGCTATACTTACAGCAGTCAAAGAAGAGGTAGGTCCACTTCGTCATATAGGAAATGGTACCAAGGGATTGGCAGAACAGGGCGACATGGCTGTTACTGCCGCAGATCCGACCAACATCACTGGCTCCTATGGTTACTCCCAGGTTGTCGAAGGTCTTCCCACTCCACGTGGAATGCCACTTGAAGCACTCTCGGTACGTCTTGTCATCGAACTCCGAGGTTCGGTTAAAATACAAGAACTCTTCGATGTCGGGCTTTAATGCTGAAAGAGTAAGATTGACATTGGGCGATTCTAAAATCCCCTTGAAAGCGGAAACAACATGCAACCCCTTCTCAAAGGGTGTACTGGTTTACAATCCCATTTCAGTGGCTCAACTACCACAGGGAACCACGGGGGCACTACCACTCCTTAATTGCAGGAAAGCATATCACACTTGAGTCCACGGCCCCCACTGGTCTAGTTGAGCCACTGTTCCGACTTTAACGTTATGTACCCCCGACTTGCTAACATTTCAGAAGGTTTATATCAAAATGCATATACTTACGACATGTCGGAATGTAACACTCTTCAAACGCAGTCGCATCATAACCAACATAGCACCAGATGTTGGTATAAGAGAGGCCTGGGTTGCGACATTGATGCTTGCGTGATGAATACGGAAAGGCTCTGTTGATGAACGGTTGAGGAGTTTGTACGTCATCCCAGTAGCGACATTTCTTGCCAGTAACCGTATAATCGATCCGACCGATGTAGTCAAAACCGTCATCTTTGTCCGAACAAATCAAATCTGTAAGAATAAAGGAGATAATTGAATTCGGGGTTTACGTCCAAAATTATTTTCCTAATGAAAGAAGTCCTTCGAAAATAATTGCAAATTGCTTGTGTTGTGCCCGCAATGCAAGTCTCATGCGTCGGGAATGGCGTCGGTATAACCGCGTACGTATACCGTTTTGCAGCAATCTTCAATGGGATCTTGCGTCGCTTGAAGACGGTTTATGATCGTAAGTACAGCTATCCTAAAAGGCCGTGGCTTTTCGTACAACGACGGTACATTAAAAAACATGTGGCTATCCCTATCTAACCCTAACAAAGTCTTTAATATCATTCTTGATAATCAAAATGGCTTCACGCTTTTAACAAACCCCCCAAAACTAGCGCCTGTTGTGTCCTATCGTATTCGTACCGTTGTTAGCAGCCATAGAGAACACACTCCATGACCGTGCAAATAGCCAGTACTATCCCAAAATGACACTTTACGCCGATATACAGTAACCTACAACGATGGAAATGCCCTTTGAAGAAGCAACGCAAAATTGATCCGAAAATTCTTGCGTTTGCAGATGAATTCCCTTACTTACTGCAGTCTGCAATGGGGCAAAACGTCCTTTTGCATCCACTAGTGAAACACCAAGGCCCGTTTTTCTCGTTGGCGTTAATCGGATTTCTGCATTGATTCGTTACATCAGCGGACACCAGATCGGGGAAGGTGAAGACGGAGATACAGTTCGTCCAGGGTAAACACTCTTCCCCCGTTACGGACACGTTGTGTTGTCCTTTGTACTCCATCCCGTGGGTTTGACGCCGGCATTCCACAGCTGAAAGGGGACAAATACTTAAATTGAAAGACTGAAAAGGAAACCACAATTTTAGAGATTACGTTCTCAGGGATCGTGTCTACCACCTGGTCCTTGATCAGTCCAGACCAGTGGGTTCAGATCAATGGCGGAGCCTGGTTTTACGTCCGAGGGGGATGGTCCAGATCTGTATCCATTGACAACTGGCAGTTGAAATAAAAGCTGATGGTGCAAATAATAAAAAAAATTTTTTTTTTGGAAAAATTTACCACCAAATGATTTTTACTGACAATTACTAGAAAAAACCAAAATGAACTCCACGATAATAAAACATATTATATCGATGACCAATGGGAGAAATAATTTCTGTCTTGCTTCACTCACACGAAAAGAACCACTTAAGGAGAGCTCACCTTTACCAGTCCACCTAGTGCCAAACATCCGGATCTCACAAATACTAATGTCGATAACATTGGAGCTGGATTTCACGACCACAGTTGATCCGATCGGGTATTCTTTACAAGCAAATGGTCTAACTGTCGGGAAATCTGTATTAGTCTGTTCACATTCGGTCTCTCGCTGGTTATTTTTGACTAATATGATCAAACTTTCCCACGTGATGTTGGCTACAAGAGAAAAAATGGGTTGAATGATATTTGCGATAGTGACGTCACAATATGACCAAACTTTCCCACGTGATGTTGGCTTCAACAGGAAAAAAAGGGCTTGAATGATATTTGCGATAGTGACGTCACAATATGAATAACCTTCCCACGTGATGTTGGCTACAACAGAAAAAATGGCTTGCATGATATTTGCTATAGTGACGTCACAATATGATCAAATCTTAGTCAAACAAGAAATACCGATATTTGCGTTTACCTGATACGGTTACAACCACTTCAGACACTTCGTACAATGCGTTCAGCGTGAAAGTGTAAGCTGTTGCCGAACTGTTGGTACACGTTGAATCGTTGTCATCGGAGAGCAGTCCGATGTCGTCTACGATCGTTTCGTTTGGTAGGAACATGGTCAAATTGGGATCCTCTGAAATTAAAATATCATCCATTCCGAAATACCCTTTGAAATACATACGAACTCATGTGCACCCAAAACCACATAATCGAGGCCCAGTGTGCTACAGACTCCAGATCTTACGGCTCTCTCGACAGTTGGAAATGGAAAAGGCAATAGACTCTATGATGACAAAATGCGCCCCATTGCAAACTGATCATCACAGCGTAGATCAAGGCATGGGTTCGTTCAGGGTGGATTATGATGGATGAAAGGTTTGGAGGTCGAAATTGCTCGACAACCCTTGCACGATCAGATAAATACTTACCGCTGTATCTTAGGCGAAAGCCTCCAAAATGACGACTCTTTATTGACATGATGGATCAAAGGTTGGAGGTCGAAATGACTTGTACCACCCTTGCACGATCAGATAAAAACTTACTGCTGTATCCGGGCGAAAGCCTCCGAAATGATGACTCTTTATTGATATGATGGATCAAATGTTTGGAGGTCGAAATTACTCGACAACCCTTGCACGATCAGATAGATACTTACCAGTGCATCTGAGATGGTTGCCGGACCAGTCCCTGGATGAAGAACAAAATGAAGCAGCTCCCCCGCCTTTGTTATAAAAACCGGGTGCGCATGTGTAGCTGGCCGTATAAGCTCCCTCGATGGTATACTGCTTGGCAAAGGAGAAGCCTGGTCTACCACATTCCACTGAAAGGGATTTTAAGGTATTTGGTGGTCTAAATGTTCACTTTACAACCTGGTAGAGCTCAATTAGTTGGGCTACCTGTATCTCTTTTCAGAATGCAATTCTTACATCTGGCTCTTGTGTAGTCAAAGGAAACGTGCAGGCGAAAGTGACGACGGTTTATGCATCAATTTCTAGTGGAGATATAACTGAAATGATGTCATCGGATATTTAATCGGTTCTCATATCAACCGCTACGTGTTCTTCCATTGCAGACGAACTTGGTGCAGAATTTCTATTTGAAAGGATAGCATATAGACTTAATTTAAGAAGTGATTTGATTTAAAATGAGTAAAATAACCCACAGAAAATAGCCGAAACAAAATATATACAAGTATACAAAGACAACCAAGATGCGTTCAACCAAGAATGAGTGAAGTGGTCCACAGCATATAAACGAAACAAAACTCTCAGGGCTATACTCTCTCTGAGATACTGAGATATTAGAGGTGTTTTCGGGCTAAAATGAGTGAAGTAACCCATACAATATAGACGAAACGAAACTTCCAGAGCCATACTTTAAATATAACGTCATACGTACCTTTCCGCGGTCGTCCTCTGATGACGATATTACACAGAGTCATGGGTGTTTCCGTGGGAAATCCGCCGATAAAGGTCACTCTGGAGCCATAGTGCACCTTAGGATAGAGATCGTAATGCTTGCCTTGAGCTGGATTTTTTATTCCGCGATAGTAGGAATTATCAACCTTCACCGTAAAATTTTCCGGCATTGCATCTACAGAAAAGAAAGTGGAGTTGGATGCCCTACTCGAGGTAATGAACAAGGAGAAAGGCTTTAGGATTGCAACACACAGTGAGACAATGCCGAGACGATTATTGCTCGTTGGTGCAGCTTGAACATCGAGTGGTATCCCTTGCCAATGCGTAACTCAGTCGGTGAGCGATAGTGAAGTGGACGTCGTTGATTCAAGTCGCAATCGGAGAATGACCTGATCCATAAAAACATGTTTCCTCATTATTCCAATCAACCCAGCGATAAATGCATATGGATAATCTGGTAAAGATCAATGGCCAGAGGTTTGGTTGAGGACCAGCTGGTAGAAAGGATCCTCATTATTCCAGTCAACCCATCTGTAAATGGGAACAGATAATCTGGGAAAGATCAATGCCAAGAGGTTTGTTCAAGGACCAGCTGGTAGAAAGGATTCTTATTATTCAAATCGGTCCAGCTTTAAATTGGAACAATGCCAAGAGGTTTGGACAAGGTCCAACTGTTGAACCAGCTGCATGTGGGCAATATAATCCTGTAAAATTCAAAGGCCAGGTTTGACCAGGGATAAGCTGGTAGATTAAGTCCTCTGAAAAGAATTTCCCATTTTGGTAGTTTACTCACCCGAGCTGTTGGGAAAGGTGAAGGATATTTGATAAAAATCGTTGGGTTGGTGAGCTGTGTAACTGAAGTCCAGTTGAATGGTCGTCCGGTTGCCGGGTCCGCTGCTGTAACACGTACAATCTGTTACGTTTCCGGATGTAAGAGACTGGAAAGGATTGGTCT